TTCGAAACCAACCTGAGCAAGAGCGAGACCCCGTCTCTACTGTAAATAGAAAGACATTAATTGGCCAACTAATATATATAGAAAAAATCAGCCGGGCATGGTGGCGCATGCCTGTAGTCCCAGCTACTCGGGAGGCTGAGGCAGGAGGATTGCTTGAGCCCAGGAGTTGGAGGTTGCTGTGAGCTAGGCTGATGCCATGGCACTCACTCTAGCCTGGGCAACAAAGTGAGACTCTGTCTCAAAAACAGAAAGAAAGAAATATATAGATTCTGGCAATCAGCATTTGGTTAAGGGAATCTTTCCCCAGGGCTGCCAAGGGGAAAAATAGCCTAAGTGGTCATTTCCTCATGTTAATCCTGTTCTCCGGTTCTGTTCCTTCGTGATCTCTCACTACCCTCTCCACTGTGCTGATTTGAGAGAGGGGAACCAAGACCAAAAAAAGGGAAATGAGAGGAAGGGTATTTGTGGACTGTGATGGACATGGAATTGGGGAGAGTCCTTGAGTCCCCAAGTCACTGCTAAACAAACAGCCAGCCTCCCTGCTGCTTCTGGCTAAGCTGTAACTTTGGCCAAAGTTACTTCTGCTTTGGACTCATTTAACCTTTAGTCTGGGGATCCCCAATCATGTTACTGACATTAATTCCTCTATCCTCACAAAAACCTTGGGTTGATGGGAAAAATAAACCAAAACACAAGATCTTATGAGATACTTTAAAGTCCAATGTGGTAAAATGAAAATAATAGTCAGTTTATTCTCTTATAATAATTTGTCTTCATTTTAATAAAGGGGAAACTGAGTCACGAAAGTCACAAAAGTGGAAATAAGTCAATTTTATATATGCCCGTCAGTCTTTGACTTCATCAGTATCAATAATGTTTTAAAGTTATACTATTTTCTTCCTGGAAATTCTTACATTGGTCATTTTATCAATGAGGAAACTGAGGCACAAGGCGATTAAAATGTGCCACTTCAAGCCAGGCTTCATAAAATCGTGGCTGTATAAGAAATACAAGAACTCTTATTCTTAGAAAAAAATTCTTTTTTCATTAGATTTCTACCCAAGTTTGAAACATTAAATCTACTAAAAGTTTGTGAAATTAGGTGATAACCGCTGTAAAGCTTGAGTTCTTGATACCAAGAACAGTGTGGGGTCTGGGATGGCAGCAAGAGTAATCATAATCCTTGACCTCTGTAAAGGGTTTCATAGTTTACAAGCACTCCACAGCTGCTATTACACTCTGTCCTCATCAAGGACATCAACACTGTCCCCTTTTAGAGATGAGGAGGCTGGGACTCAGAGGTTAGCAGTTTGTCAGAGAACACAGTTAGCCAAGGCCAGAACCGGGACTGAAACTCAGGTCTTCTGAATCCAGGTTACTAAGAACAAACTTTGGGGGAAAGAGGGCACCACCAGCCTTTTACTAGGAGACTTAAGAGGAGACTGAGGGAGGAGGAGAAGAGGCTAGTACAGTCAGCATGTCAGCCTATATGATAGCAGAGGAGAAAATTATCATCACTAAGCATTTCAAATGACACGGACTGCTCTGGGCCTACTGACTGTGGCTGTCATCTCCGAGGGCCTGCAATCAAAGACAAACACACTAGGAAGAACAAACATGTATATAACATACAGATGATAGAATAAGAACAGTAATCCACTACAAGAGAGGAAAACATTTATATCATATCATATACATGTCCAGGTAAGCTTAGGATATAGAGAATTTAAGTGTATAAATGAAAGTGGGAGCAATAGGCCAGGCATGGTGGCTCACGCCTGTAATCCTAGCACTCTGGGAGGCCAAGGTCGGAGGATTGCTCAAGGTCAGCAGTTCCAAACCAGCCTGAGCAAAAGTGAGACCCCGTCTCTACTATAAATAGAAAGAAATTAATTGGCCAACTAATATATATAGAAAAATTAGCCGGGCATGGTGGTGCATGCCTGTAGTCCCAGCTACTCAGGAGGCTGAGGCAGTAGGATCACTTGAGCCCAGGAGTTTGAGGTTGCTGTGAGCTAGGCTGACGCCATGGCACTCACTCTAGCCTGGGCAACAAAGTTTAACTCTGTCTCAAAAAAAAAAAAAAACTAAAAAGAAAATGGGAGCAATAAAGAAGCACACACACACATACCCCCTAATCCAGGAAGAGGTTTTTGGGAAAAAAAATAAATTTTAGGAGTTCTTTCTTTTCTCTTTAAAATAAGAAGCAGTGGAGTAGCTGTGTTGTGACAGTGGAATCCAGAGTGTGAGATTTAAAACAGAAACTTATCCTAGACATATGGAACAATTATAAAGATGGGTGGGAAGAGGGTAGGAGGGTGGTGTCAGTGGACAGAAAGGGCTTTGAGCAAGTGGAAATTCAAGAGAGATTACAACCTGTCCTGACTCCTGTGCTGTGTCTAAGTGTTTCCACCCCCACACTTTCAGAAAGCTCATGCTATCCCTATTTCAGGCACATGAAGAATCTCCAAGTTGTGAAAGCCTGTTTGCAACAGATGGAGAAGGCAGCAGTGCTGTGGTGAAGGAAATAGTGGATAGGGACCTTGGGCACGCTGGGCAAGAAGTCCCTAGCCATCGCAATCTCCCCAGATTCTGCCACCACAGGAGAGGTTCCCAGCACACAACTCATTTATCCGGACCCACTAATTGTTAGGGACTTTCCAATTTGCTTCATCAAACCCAAATACACCTGTTGAGTTTCATGCCAGTGATTAGATTCTTAATGTAAAAATGGTTGAGTTCTGCTGGGATATAAACTTTTCTCAATATATCAATTCAAACTCCAGCCAGATAGAGAGACCTGTTTACCTCTGCTAATTGCGTTTACTCATGTCATCCTTTGTGACCTTAATTAGTCAGAGAAGTGGCAGCAAAGAACCACTAGGAGTCTGGGTTAAGTAAAAATATGCAGAAATAGTCCCTATACTCTGGTTCCAGGATCTTTGTAGAACAAGTATCCTTCAAGGTGACGGTGCTGGCTCTAACCATGACCATTTGAGCTATGAGCCAAAGGTTAGCAATTTCAGACTTTTAAAAGAAACTGCTCATTCCCAAACACCCTGGTTTCTGAGTCGACACAACTGCTAAAATTTGCAGGGGTGATAGGAGAATTTGAGGATTCTTATGATAATGATTCCTAAGATTATTATTTTTCCCAACATTTATTCACCTGCCATACTTACAATGTGCCATCCTCTGTTCTAACCACTCTCTATACATTAACACATCTAATACAACCACACAAGTAGATACTATTGGTATTATGTTCGCACAGATGAGCAACTGACACAGAGAAATCATTTAAACAAGGTTACAAAGCTAGTAGTTGAAGGCACAAGGACCTGAATACAATTTCCATCACTTAGCTAATAACTTTAAAGGAATGGTCAACCAAATATCCTACATTTACACATAAAACATGGTTCAAATCTAGGTACTATGAAGATACAAAGAATATAGAGTTCCCATTCTCAAAGAGCTAATGAACTAGTTGGAGATATCAGTAATCCTCTCTATGGCACTTAAATTTTGTTCCTTATCTTAATCACCTAAATAGTAGGATTTTCTAACTAGAAAAGACCTGACATCACCAATGTTATTACACAGGAAGGACAGGCAGACACCACTGGCAACTTTCTTTTAAATAGGTAAGGTAATTTCAGGCCAGAGAGGACCAACTTTTAATTAATTTATCAACAGCTAGAGAATGGCTAGTAGCATATCCAAAAACAGAAGCCAACTTTTGTAACAATGAATGTTGATATTTCCATGTTCTAAATGGAAGAGGGGAAGAAAAGGTGTTTTTCTGTCAACCAAGCTGGAGTGCAGTGGCACCGTCATAGCTCACAAAGACTCTTAACTCCTGGGCTCAAGCAATCCTCCTGCCTCAGCCTCCAGAGTAACTAGAACCACAGGCGTGCCACCACGCCCAGCTAATTTTTAAATTTTTTTGTAGAGGTGGGGTCTTGCCTTGATGCCCAAGCTGGTCACAAACTCCTGGCCTCAAGCAATCCTAGGCCTACCAAAGCACTGGGATTACAGGTGTGAGTCACCGCTTCTGGCCTGAAAAGGTGTTATTAGAGCAATGGTACAAAACAAAGTTTTGAACCATTTGATTAAAATTGATCTTCAATTCTCCTTCAATCCCATCCCCCTCTTCACCTCCTCACACTTATTTGATTCCAATTTATGTAATCTTTACTGATGCCCACTCCTCCCTTTCTTCTGCCTCTGGAGTGAAACCAAGCCTGGACACACCACTCAGAGTTATGGGGGGGGGCGCGGGAGAGAAAAAAGAAAAGCGATAAAAAACCCTATAACAAAAAAAACCCAAAAAAAAAGGGGGAGAGAAAACGCTGGACAAAAAATATGTAAAAGCGCTAGAACAGACAAAAAGAAAAGGAAAAAAAAAAGGGAGATACGTTTGAATGACTTAGGGAGAAGACTTGCAGACTGCTTGGATTGAGAGAGATTAAAACTAAATGCAGAGAGAGACAAGCAGGGATTCGGTCATGCTCCCAGTCTTTACAAAGAGGAAATGCCAAAGCAATGTGCTTTAGAGAAAGCCTCGCAGCTTCTTTCATACGTCTCTCAAAGAACCCTTTCTTAGAAGTCTGAAGGCTACGGGTCCTCTCTTCCCATTGTGAGGGCTCCCCTCTCTAGGTCTCAGGGCCGGTTTCTGGAGAAACAGAGGCCTCCTCTCTGCAGAGGGGGGCGTACCCCGGAGCCTGGGTCCTTCCTGCGGGGGCGGCGGGGAATGCGAGGTCCCCTTCCGCGGCAGGTGGGCCCCCCGGCGCAGCAATTCGCCCCGCCGACCCGGCTCCGCAGCACAGCGCCAGCCTGACGGAGGCGGCGCGCGGAGGCCCAGCGCCCCCTCGTGCCGCGTCACCCCTCAGAGTCCGGCGGACCCAAGCCCAGCAGCCGAGCCTGGGCGCCCGCCCGCCGCGAGCGTGCGTAACGTGCCCCCGCAGCGTGACGCATGCGCCGTGTCGGGGCGGATGCGCGGGATGCGCCGCGGGAGGAGCGCGCAGGGGGCGGAGTGCGGGAGGAAGTCGGCGTCTGCTGAAAGGAGAAAGGAGAGGGAGACGCGGCTGGGTGCGGCGAGGTGAGGCTGGGAGCCGACGGGAGGGCGCCTCCTCCTCCCCCGCCCTTTCTGCTGAGGATGGAAGTGACGAAAGCAGCCGAGGAGGTCACTTCCTGCTGGGGTGGATGAGGAGGAGCCGGAGACGCCGCGGAGGAGACCGGACCGAAAGCTGACCGTGCCGGGGAGAGGTGAGTCCTGGCCGGCCTTGCCGCGGCGGTCGGGCCCCTCTGGACCGGACCCCGGACCCCGGCGGAGACGGCGTCTCTGGGGTCCGGGCGGCTCGCCCCGCCGCGTACCAACCCCGCCGGGCCTCACCCAGCGCGGGGGGCGGGGGAGGTAAGGGGCCCCGTGTCGGAGGGGCGACTGGGACTCAGGGCAGCGTTCGTGCGATGGCCCCGTGGAGCCCCGAGGCCACGGGGTAAGGGAAGCCTGGCCAGGAGGCGAGTGGAAAGGAGGCTCTGAGGGCTGTGGAAGCCCATACCGGGAGCTGCTTCAGGAGATTCGCACGCCACACTGTGCATGCCTCACTGTTTGGGAAATGGTCGTGATCTGAGGAAGGACAGGGGACCTGAGGTTTGCAGAGATGAGACGAGTGGCCCCACTTGGACGGAGCGTCATCGTAGTGAATTTGTGAAAGGCATGCAAAGGCGCCTCCTGAGAAGAGGGGGCGTTGTGAGGAAAAGCCAGGAACGGGAATGTCAGGAGAGGGCTTCCTGGTCATCGTTGCAACTGGGTTTGCACCTCAGTCGTGCTGGCCGAAGGGCATTCCTGTGGCAGGGTAAAGACCCCGCGATCCGACAGAGCAGTCTAGGAGTTAGAGGCCAGGGCAGCTTCCTGGAGCCATGGGGAAATTAATGTTTTTCCTCCCTCATTGTCACTGGGATCGGAGAGGAAGCTCCTGCCTCAGCCCTGGTGACTTGTTATTGTATATCTTGTTTGTGTATTTCTGCGTTCCAAGTCTGTTTGTTTTTTCCTTCCTTTAGCGTATTTATCTTGTCCTCGGCCCCTGGTGGCTTTATAGACTGAAACTTGCTGGTTTCCTTAATGTGTATGGTGAGAAAAAAATTTAAAGGATCTAGAGGAATCTTAGGTTTGATGAAATTTACAAGATTAGGATTTTGTCCCCAGCCTGGGGCCACAGAGGCACCTACATTCCCTCCAGACTTCTGGCAATGTGGGTGCTAAGGGCCATGTCCCTCTGGCATTCTCACCTCTCGCTCCTTTTTTCTAAAGAATTGACTGACTCAAAACTACTTGCTGCTAGGAACAGGAAATTTGTTGAGGAACTGTAAATCTGGATGGAATGAATTTAGATCTCAGCAAGAGTCCCTCCACTCATTGGCCAGAAAGTCCTTAGAAATGCTTGCTTTTTTCCCTCCTGTTAAAGGGAGAAAATGTAAACTTTTTTCTCAAAAAGACCTTTGAAAGTGTGTGTGTGTTTCTTGTATAGAGTAACTGCACATATGGTGTGTTTACTTCCTGTATCCCAGGGTATTTTTCAAGGGGGAGGGGGCAGTTTCTGACTGGGAGGAGTTTTCCTTCTCCCATCTCACATAATTCAGTAAAATAAATCAAAATCAGATGTTCATTCTTGAGTGGGAATCAGATGGATTTAGATTTTTTTCACTCTTTAAGCTGGTACATCTGGGTGAACTCAGGCTTGTGTATCTTGGCATCTGGGCTTGTCTAGTAATAGAAGACAAACTGTTTGACTTGTTTTGGCTGCCTTTTTGGACCCGTTTCACTGGACCCATCTTTTTTTTTTTTTCTTTTTAACATTGGAAGGGTTGGTCAGGAGGAAGAAAGCAAATATTAAAGACAGTGTTTACACTCTGTGGTTTAAAGTCAGGTGAGAGATAATTATGGCTTTTGAAGCTGATGACCTGAGGCCCATCATTTGATGACTTAGGGATTAGCAGTTTGGAGGTGACATGTTGGAAAGAAAGAGGGTTGCATGAGGAAGGAAAGACAGGGAAAGGAAGTTTGAGAAAAGGCTGTGCTAGAAAACCTTGGGAGGATAATAAATAAATAGCATCTTAAAGTAATTGTGTGGCTTGTGTCTCTCAGCAGGAGAGTGAAAATGAAAGCAGGCTGTAGCATCGTGGAAAAGCCAGAAGGAGGTGGAGGTGAGCAAAAGTTGATCATCTCTTATGTACCTGGAAATGTCCCTCAGAGATTCCTGTTCTCTTCACTTGTGTTCTGTTCTCAAATGCCAGACCGTGACTGATCTGATGGTGGATACTGCTGGGACAGTTGTAGGCTTGTTTCCTGTAGATGTATATTTAACATATCTGGTCACCACACCCACATCCCAAGCTTTAGAGTCTCTTCCTTGTTAGAGACACAGTTCCAACTTTGGGGGTAAAGAGTTTTCAGCTGTATTTTCCTAAAACATTGGTTAATCTTTCTTGTTTTTTTGCTTTGGAACTTTCATGCCCTCATAGAAAGTAGGTGTATGATTTAGTAATATATGAAAGGGTAAGAGATTAGGACACCTGGGTGCTGCTGCCCAACTCTATCAGATTTATTGATTGCTACAGTGATAGGTAACTTCCCTGCTTTCCTCTCCCCTGCTGTGGTTAGTCCAAGCTGACTAAAAGGGTGTTTATGGCATGTTTACAAAGCACTTTAGAGCTTCTGACCAGTGGAATGTAGAGATGGGGGTGCTGGTATGCATGTACCTAGCTCCTGACTACTTTGATCTTGCCCTTTTCACATTAAAGGCTATCAGTTTCCTGACTGGGCCTACAAAACAGAGTCATCCCCGGGCTCCCGGCAGATCCAACTGTGGCACTTCATCCTGGAGCTGCTGCAGAAGGAAGAGTTCCGCCATGTCATCGCCTGGCAGCAGGGAGAGTACGGGGAGTTTGTCATCAAGGATCCAGATGAGGTGGCCCGCCTCTGGGGCCGCAGGAAATGCAAACCACAGATGAATTATGACAAGCTGAGCCGAGCCCTCAGGTAAGGGAAAGTATTCCCAAATCTGTAGTGTTAACAGATTGGAAGGAGACTGAGCAGTTTAGTGAATGTTAGATAAAAAGAGTATCAGGTGATAAGAGACTACACTATCTCAGTGAATAATGTGTGGCTTTAAAGTGGGAGTAGAAGAGCTGTTGAATCTGAGTAGCATAGGCAAAGGAGGAGAAAAGGCATATCTTTGGTTATATGTAGGAGGGAATTCCAATGTGGCTGGCACTGGATCCCGACAGCCGATTTTGCTCTGTAGTGGGCGAGAGTGTATGGTGAAACATGGATTAGAGCTCATTTATAATCCAGAGGATTAGTTTAGACTTCCCTATTGGGAATCTATTAGAATTTCTCATCTTTGGGCTCCACTGGAAGAAACTAGGAAAGTGTGAAGCAAGCTCACAAGGGGAGGGCTCACTGAATGGCACTGACCTATCTATTCAGGAACTATATCTGTGAGCTCAGTTGTCAGTCCATAGGTTGCTCCAACATGTCTAAAGGTTGATGACTACAAGTTTTCTCAGGTTCTCTTTTCCCTTTGTCAGTCTTTAAATTTCATAACCCTTATAAAGTCTCAAGGTGCCAGAAGGCAGTTTATGACCTGTGCTACTGAATAGATACAAGGGTAAAGGTTTCAGGTACACTGAAGTTTTCCTGCCTTTCTTGATGCTTAGTGATCCTGAATGTAAAATTTGTACAGTGGTTTTGCTGGAACGTCTCATAGCCCTTTTTTTTTGAGACAGAGTCTCACTCTGTTGCTCGGCTAGAGTGCCGAGGCATCAGTCTAGCTCACAGCAACCTCAAACTCCTGGGCTCAGGCAATCCTCCTGCCTCAGCCTCCCGAGTAGCTGGGACTACAGCTATGCACCACCATGCCCGGCTAATTTTTTCTATATATTTTTAGTTGGCCAATTAATTTGTTTCTATTTTTAGTAGAAACCGAGTCTCGCTCTTGCTCAGGCTGGTCTCGAACTCCTGACCTTGAGCAATCCGCCTGCCTCAGCCTCCCAGAGTGCTAGGATTACAGGCATGAGCCACCCCACCTGGCCTTCATAGCCCTTTGAGTCTTTGAAAGGGAAGGGGGCCACACTGGCTGCTGTTTTACAGATCAGTGTATGCCATTGTTTGACCTGCCACCATAAAACAGTTCTACATTCCTTTGTCTATGCCTCCAGACAAACTACATCAGGTCTCCCAAGAGATTTGTCTGCTCCTACTTAGGCAAGACAGAGAAAGTAGGCAGTTAGTGACATATAGTAGAACAAGAAGGAAATGAACTATAGAATTGAAATTGTAGAGAGATTGAGAAAAAAGGTGATTGGGGTTCGGATAGGTGTTCAGAATCTTAAAGTGAGGTTGTTTTTGTAAAGCTCTAGCCAAAGACTAGAGCTTAGTTGAAAATTGAATGAGAAATGTAAGCTCTTAGATCTTCTGGCTCTAACCTGAGGGCCAGGCTGCAAAAGAATGGTAGTGATGTTTGTAAGTAATACTTAGAACAAGAATTGTTGGTCTTAGTGGTTACCTAAGTATGTGAAGAGCTGTCAATAAATTGACACGTATTCCTTTTGTTTTTTCTTTTCTTTTCTTTTCTTTCTTTTCTTTCTTTCTTTCTTTCTTTCTTTCTTTCTTTCTTTCTTTCTTTCTTTCTTTCTTTCTTTCTTTCTTTCTTTCTTTTTTTACAGATACTATTACAACAAGAGGATCCTGCATAAAACAAAAGGGAAAAGGTTTACTTACAAATTTAACTTTAACAAGCTGGTGATGCCCAACTACCCATTCATCAACATTCGGTCAAGTGGTAAGATACAGACTCTCTTGGTGGGGAATGAATTTTGAGTTGAAAAAGAAATTTTTAAAACCCAAATCTAAGACATGGCATGTTTAAGGAGATTTTAGGAACACTAAAGTAATATCCCTTAGATTGCCTCAATGTTCTTGTGTCTTCTCATTCATCTCATAAAGAGTAATAGGCTATGCAGTATCAAGATAGATTTGTTTGATTTATTTATTTAGTTCCTTTTTCTGCATATTATTTGAGACAGAGTCTCGCTTTCTTGCCTAGGCTAGAGTGAGTGCCGTGGCGTCAGCCTAGCTCACAGCAACCTCAAACTCCTGGGCTTAAGCAATCCTACTGCCTCAGCCTCCCGAGTTGCTGGGACTACAGGCACGAGCCACCATGCCCGGCTAATTTTTTGTATATATATTAGTTGGCCAATTAATTTCTTTCTATTTTTATAGTAGAGACAGGGTCTCGCTCAGGCTGGTTTTGAACTCCTGACCTTGAGCAATCCGCCCTCCTCGGCCTCCCAGAGTGCTAGGATTACAAGCGTGAGCCACCGCGCCCGGCCAGGAATGATATTTCATAGGTTTGTGTTAATCTTTAAGTTCAGGACTCAGTTTGAACACCCTGCCCAATGGCTCTTTCATAGATGGGAGCCTGTTTCTACAAACACTTCCGATTTTCTATGAAACTACCAAGCTCTCCCTTATCAAGTGAATATCATCAAAACCACAGCATCCTTGATCAGAGAAGGGGAGGTTTACATGTTTGCACTGAGAAGCAGTGTCTTTGATCTGCACCAGCAAATCCTCAGAGAACAAGACTCTGGGGTTACTTGACCTTCTCTCCTTTTAAGTGCAGCAGGGCTTCCCTTCTTGGCTCTCAGCTTTGTAGCTTTCCATTACAGTGCTTTATAGAAGTTTGAAGCTTCTCTTTGGTGTAGAAGGCAACTCTTAAAAGGTTTTGTTGCTGTTATGTGTGGTTTTTTGTTTGTGGGGGTTTTTAGATGCAAATCATACCCCTACCCAAAAAAATAAAGTCTTCATCCTTGGGATATATGTTCCAAGACCCCCACTGGATTGTCAAACCACAGATAGTACTTTACCCCATATATACTGTTTTTTTCCTTATATATATGTACCTGTGATAAAGTTTAATTTATAATTAGGCACAGTGAGATTAACAATAACTAGTAATAAAATAGAACAGTTATAGCAATATACCGTAATAAAAGTTATGTGAATGTGGTCTCTTTCTTTCTCAAAATATCTTATTTTACTGTGCTTACCTATTTTCAGACCTCTGAGGGTAACTAAAACAGTGGAAAGCGAAACCGACACCTCGGATAAGGGAAGACTACTGTAGTTTGTATTTAACTATTTTTGACCAGTCCATCAGTACTCTCTTTGTGGTCTTGTATGTTAATGCAAAGAGAGCTGATGATTCTGCAGTAATACAACTTCACAGAGAAAAGTTGGATGAAACCTGAAAAATTAGAGCGGGGGTGTGGCTGAGAGAATATAATGTTGAGATCCATTGCAGATATGTAATTACCGCACACAACAAGTTAGGGCAGTTTTAGCTTGACTCTGCTATCATTACAGTTCCATCTCTCTTTCTGTAACCACTCCCTCCTGTCCCTGGGGCATGCATTTAAAAAAAAAAAGTGGTATTGGAATGCATCTCTCTAATTACAACCTGTTTTCTTTCCTTGTGCCTGAGGGAGAGGCGTTAGGAAATCAAACCTGTTCTAGCCACTGGAATCTTGTTTCCTCTATTTCTCACCCTTGCTCCTTCCCTGTGTACATTTCTTTTAGGCATACTTTTTGGTTGCTCACATCCCCTAGACACAACTCTGGAGAACTGGAGTCATTAGTTTATAGAGAACTTTTACTCAAAGAGGCCAAATGTTGTTTGAGGTTAACTTTATGATGACAAAGCAATGTAACATTTATTGAACATGTACTTAATGGAGGTACTTTTGCTTAGTAGTTTTGTGAATTATCTCATTCAACCCTTCTAGCCCATAAAATGTATGTCTTTTTTTTTTTTTTTTTTTTTGAGACAGAGTCTCACTCTTTGCCCGGGCTAGAGTGCTGTGGTGTCAGCCTAGCTCACAGCAAACTCAGACTCCTGGGCTCAAGCAATCCTACTGCCTCAGCCTCCCAAGTAGCTGGGACTACAGGCATGTGCCACCATGCCCGGCTAAATTTTTCTATATATATTAGTTGGCCAATTAATTTCTTTCTGTTTATAGTAGAGAGTGGGTCTCTCGCTCTTGCTGGTTTCGAATTCCTGACCTCGAGCAATCCTCCCGCCTTGGCCTCCCAGAGTGCTAGGATTACAGGCGTGAGCCACTGCGCCAGCCTAAAATGTATGTCTTGATATCCACATTTTATAAATGATAAAATTAAGGATGAGGGCCAGGCTTGGGCTCATGCCTGTAATCTACTCTGGGAGGCTGAGACAGGAGGATCGCATGAGGTCAGGATTTCGAGGCCAGCCTGAAACAAGAGCAAGACCCTGTCTCTACTAAAAGTAGAAAAATTAGGCGTTATGGTACATGCCTGTAGTCCCAGCCACTCAGGAGGCTGAGGCATGGGCTAACACCTAGCCTGTAAGCTAGGCTAACACTGTGGCACTCTAGCCAGGGCAACACAGTGAGACTCTCTCAAAAAAAAAAAAAAATTAAGGATGAGGAAACAAAGTTAAAGACAGATCAGAGTGGATTGATTAATTATCTGTTGAACAGTTTCTTAGGAGACAATTCCTGAGAGATTGAGTTATTGAAATCCATCTCTTATTTAATAATAGATCATACATTTCTCTTCTAGATTGGGATTCATTCATTTGTTCAACAGATAATGTGTTAAGCTCTAAAGACCAAAAAACAAAAGATTATGGGGAATTCTTTCCCTCAAGGAATTTACAGTTTAGCAGGAGAGATAAGATATACTAGCTTTGATACAGTGTGAAGTGTGATAAGTGCTGTAAGTAGAGGTATGTGGATTTAGATCCTAGAGGCCAAACAGATCATGTCTACTAGGGGTGGGGTGGTAGAGTTGGGCAATTCTGGTCTGTGTGTTTTTTAAAATAAGGCAATACGTGGTTGATTGTAACATAACCAAATAATAAAGAGGTTTATAGAGTAAAAAGGTAAATATTTTTTTTCCCTTTCCTCATAATCCTACTCACTATTAACAATTTAGGGTACTTAACATTTAGGTAGTATTAAAAGTACTTCTATATACAGTATTTCATTTTTATCATTAAAAACATCCTATGAAATACATTAAATATATTTTAATATTTCCTTGTGTTTGCATAAGAAACACTGGAAAGATACAGAAGATACTAGTAAAAACAGTTACCTGTCAAGGGATGAGGGCAGGACAGATCAGATCAAGGATGGACTTCAGGCATCTCAGTCTGCCTCCCTACTGCTACCCACCCCTTCCCTGGTTTTTTGCTTTTATTTTGGAAAACTTCAAACCTGCAGAAACATTGGGAGAAAAAACTAGTGAACCACCAGTATATCCTTTATCTAGATTCACTAATGGTTAATATTGTTGCCACATTTGCTTTATCTCTTTCTATTTATATGTACTTTTTAAATCTTTTGAGATTAAGTTGCAGACATCATGACATTTCACCCCTGTGTACTTAAGCTTGTATTTCCCCGGAACAAGGACATTCTCCTCTATAACCACAGTAACATTATCATGCCCAGGAAATTTAACATTAATGTAGTACTGTTATCTAATATATGGTCCATATTTGAATGATACATGTCTTTTTAAGTTTTGATTTTGAACCATGATAATTATCTAGTAAAAAAAAATTGGTTTTTTGTTTTAGCAACCACATGCAATTTGCTGTGTACCAGTACTATTCTAAGGGCTTCACAAATGTTAACTCTTTTACTCCTCATAACATTAAGATTGGTCCTATTCCTTTTTGGTTTTTTTTTTTTTTTTTTTTTTTGAGACAGAGTCTCCAGCCTAGGCTGGAGTGAGTGCCATGGCATCAGCCTAACTCACAGCAACCTCAAAGTCCTGGGCTCAAGCGATCCTGCTGCCTCAGCCTCCCAAGTAGCTGGGACTACAGGCATGTGCCACCATGCCCGCTAATTTTTTCTATATATATATTTTATATTTCTGTATATATATATTCTATATATATTAGTTGGCGAATTAATTTCTATTTATAGTAGAGACGGGGTCTCACTCTTGCTCAGGCTGGTTTCGAACTCCTGACCTTGAACGATCCACCTGCCTCAGCCTCAGGATTGGTCCTATTCTTGCCTATTTTTACAGATAAGGAAACTGTCCTAGCTCACACCTGTCCTAGCACTCTAGCCCGGACAACAGAGAGACTCTGTCTCAAAAAAACAAAAAGAGTAAACTGGGACACAGAGAGGTAAGTTGTCCAGAGGCACACAACTAATGGGTGATATGACCATGGTTTGAACCTAGGCAAAGACCTTATTATTTCCATTTTGCCAGAAGGGATCAAAGACTCCAGTTTGTTACTTGCACTAGGCTATGAGGTAGAATGTGCCAGAACTGAGATTTAGACCCAAATTTTCCAACCCTACTACTCAGATTTCATGGTAGCTTCATGGAGGTGATCATCTTCCAAGGCAATGGTCTCACTTTGCTGCCTGGACTAGAGTGAGTGCCATGGCGTCTGCCTAGCCCACAGCAACCTCAAACTCTTGGGCTCAGGTGATCCTCCTGCCTCAGCTTCCCAAGTAGCTGGGACTACAGGCGTGAGCCACCATACCTGGCTAATTTTTGTTTCTATTTTTAGTAGAGACAGGGTCTTGCTCTGGTCAGGCTGGTCTCGAAATCCTGACCTCAAAAATCCTCCCACCTCGGCCTCCCAGAGTGCTAGGATTACAGACGTGAGCCACTGTGCCCAGCCTCATGCTTTCTTTTTTAACCACAAACTTTTCTTTTTAAACAAAATCTTAAGATTTGCTATCTTCATATATAAAAGTATAGCTACTCCAGTTA